TTTTAATTTTACGTTCATATTTTATAATAAATAACTGTCAAGTATACATTCAGCAGTAAGTATAATAATCTTGTAATATTCTGTTGCAAAATTATAACGCAACATATATCTGTAAGAGTTAATATAATCCAATGCTGCATAAATTTGCTGCAAGTACGAAATTAATGTGGAGAAGTCTCCGTTTTTTTCAAGAAAATTTTCCGAGATGGTACGGTCTGTACATGCAATACAACCAGCGTTACTTATCAACACGAATACATCGACGTATTCGAGCTCGATTCATTTGGAAAAGATGAGCACGCGAATACTCTAATGCAAAAAAAAGCATGCAAAAAGAGCTGATTCCGTTCTTCGCTCTTTAATCTGCGCGCGATGAATTCATCCCGTCGCCTTACAGGTCGATCGATCCTTCTCTCATGAAAAGAAATTCCAGATCGATATTAGACAATTTGTAACGAAACGTGTCTGTAAAAAGCACAACCATTAAAAAAAAATGAAATAAACTCATCGTCGGACATTGTACTTGCATAATCACAGCAATATTATGCGGAGAAATAATCAGTTTTTTTTTCGTTTGTTACTACTGAAAAGAACGTTATTAAAAGAATATACAAATTTATATAATACAAATAATATATAAATTTTTATATTCTTTTATTACTACTATTATTAATACTACTATTAATACTATTACATTATATAATACAAATACATGTAAAATCTTCAATCTCGCAAAATTTATTTTTTAGAACGCACAGTATCTGGCAATTGTTAAAAGAAAAAAGAAGCAGTGCAAAATATCGTATATATTAAAGCAATCGAGATAGAATAATTTACTTTAAGCGCCAATTTCTCTTATTGCGATTGGCCTGAAATATCATTAATTGCCGCGAGTTTAGTTTGCCTATTTGCAATCGAAACTATTTGTCAACTTTAGACGGGTGCATTTTTCCTTTTCCAACGAACGTCCGCGCACTTCCGATGGGCATCGCAAGCCGATTAAATAGAATACGTTTGCAATTCGTCGAAAGGCTATTGACTCTCTCACTGATATATACGAACATTATTTTATTTTGTATGATTGACTATACAAGGCGGAGCGGAGAGGGATATTAAAGTACCTCTTCGCGCACACAAGTTGATTTTGTATCACAGAATTGCCGATCTACTCCCAAAAAACTGAATTTCTCGATATTACATATACAAACATATTATATGACAACCGTATCAATATTTTTATTGCTTTCATAATTTTCTTTTTCGCTTCTTATTAACGAACAAGATAAGATTCGTTTAACATCGATTCGTTTAACTGCGGCGGGCTTAAATAGCGATTCGGAATGTCATAATAATTCACTGCATCCCAATCGATGTTTGATTTCACGATTGACATGTATTCGATTTCACGACAGACAAACGCGATGAGAAAATCATACAACGTGACTGATTACCGTTTAAAGCCCGCATATAATTAACCGTTGAAATGAAAGTTATGCACTAATATAATGCAATATTTTGATTTCATATTAAAAGAAATAGTTTTGAAAAAGAGGAAAAAAAAGTCGATTAGTCTCCCGTGCATGGATTCGATTATATCTTTGATATTTGAAGCAAAATATTGTGGATAATAATTTAGATTAATCAGTGATGTACACAGTGACAAGTGCAGTGCCATATATCCAGGACTGGCATGTACTTGAAGTAGTTTAATTTAAAAAACAGTATTTGCAAGGCAAATTGTATTTTGTATTATGCATTTCGACGGAACACATGCAAAAATTTTGTACCTATTTTGTATTTCCTGAGAGCACATAAAAGTATTTTGTATTTTATATTTCAGTACTAATAACGAAAGATTGAAAGTATTTTATATTTTGTATTTCAAATACTAAGATTGACAATCAATGTTATTATTATTTGAATTACAAAGTGTAAAAAAACTTAAAATTTTATTTTAATTACAAAATGATACTTTCATGTACTCCGCTGAAATACAAAATACAAAATGTTCAAATACATTTGAAATATTTTTTAAAACAGTTTTTGCAATACGAGCGCATTTTGTATTTTGTATTTCAGCGAAGCACATGAAAATATTATTTTATAATTACAATAAAATTTTAAGTTTTTTACATATATCTTCATATTACTGTCAAGTATATTTAAAGAAAATGAAAGATACGAGATATTTATACGTAGACACGTGAATCACGTTTGCGTTACACTGGAGGAAAAAATATCACCGATAGAAGTACATACTTCGCGATATCAAATTGCCATCGTGGAGCAATAAACTTCTTGATGACAAATGCGCACAGTGAAAATTCAGTTTTTATCGTGATCACGTGTGCGCGACGCGTTTTATATTTCTCCGTTCTTTCCTTTCCGATATGTTATATTAACGCGAGCAAATCGCTCGTTAATTCCGCTTGGCCGCGACCAGCCAACACCAGATTGACAGAATTAGCGAAATTACGAGTGAGTTCGCCAGGTCTTCTATGTAACATGAATGCAAGCGCACAGCAACGGATTCACTTCATCTCCCCTCCGCCCCCTCTCCCCGTTGTACAGCATTACATGTATACTAACGGGTACAAAATTTACGTTATCGATCGTTCATGTGAAATGACATTAAATGTAACTCATATCAGAGGACACCGATTGGATGGATAGATGAAGCAATAAACTCGTGTTACGCCGTAAATACGCCGTAAATGTAAGTGAAATAAATGAAACGGCAAACGACAGAAAAATTAAATATCATTTTGCGCGACCTATAATTTTTACGCAAAAGAATTGAATTTTAAGTACGATTGTAATTTTATAAAGAGGTATTTTTAAATACGCAGAAAAAGTTTACGTATGTGTAAAGAAAATATGTTAAGAGAAAATAATATATATAAAATTATAAAATTCTATCTCATGTGTAGGTCGTCCCAAAGTACTCTTTTTATACATTTAATATAAACTTAATATTTATATATCCTATGTAAAATAATAATTTATATTACAGAAAAACTATGAGATATTGTAACCTAAAAATATCATTAATATATAAAAAGATTTCATCGCGTATATCTTTATACTGCATTTATCATTTAAGAGAATTGAATAAAACCATAATACATGCAACAAAAAATCATAATAAAATTATAATAAAAAGACAAAACGCGATATAATAATTTTGAAACATTTCTCAAATATTTAAGAACATAAAAAGAATTTTAAGAATACTCAAGTGTAGGAGAAATTTTTAAATTTCCACAAATTTTTTTATGTACATTCTTTTCAAATATATTTGTTGGAAAAGGATGCGAGTGTTTTATGTCCAGAAGAATGTAGTTTAAAAGCCGAATTTCAACTCTTTTTGTTAGCAATTGACATGTTCTGTGTGCTATTTGCATAGAAATTTGTACGGGAAATCGGCCTTATCGGGCTTATCGAATAGTGCGAGAACGCGATAGCTCGCATGATGTAGCTGCACGGTTCTGCAGTCAAATGATAATTAATATTCACCAGTGACCTACCAATTAGCGTAATCTAGACTGTGCAAGATAGAGAGAGAGAAAGAGAGACACATAGAAGGAGGAAATCACCAGTTCCTGAACATCGAATCTAATCTCGACTCTCGACGTCGATGCAATTACAATGACGCTCGATAATTGCCACTGCCTTCGTACTCTCCAATATTCTAACTTTCTCTCTCTCTCTCTCTCTCTCTCTCTCTCTCTCTCTCTCTCTCTCTCTCTCGAGTTTTCCCTTGTCGGCCGCAAGCAATCTTTTCGTCACGTCGAGTAATTTCCGATTATAATAAAGAAGTTAGCCACCTTCCCCTCCCTCCGTCGTCATCGTTTACCTCAAACTTTATTACGTTAATTTGAGTAAAGATAAAGCTATTTTCGCGAAAGTAGAAAAACGATATTCAACCCGTAGATATTAAATTTTTAAATTTTTAAGCATTTTCGGGTATAACGTGAGATATTCACAATTTCAAATTTAATCTTACGTAAAACGAAATTCTTGTTTAATAATTTAATTTAAGCAAAGATATGGAGGGGACATATGTGTTACTTGTAATTTTTAATTTAGTTTTCATCCCATGAGCACGGCACCTGATACTTATAATTTTATTCTCGAGGGAAGGAAGAGAGAATCGCGGGTTTTATTTCCACAGTATTACGAAGCACCTTATTCTCTAAAAGCCGCATTCGAGCGAATCTGAATGGATGGGCGTTAACGCAGCAGATGAAAGTTATGATTTCTCGAAATCAAACATGACCTAGACGCGAAGACGAATCTATAAACTTGGCGCCAGTTAGAAGATAAACGGACGGGAAACACAGTAACGATAATGATTACGTTGCGAATGTGCACGATATAAACGAATATGATGCAGCATGTCGTTTAAGAATGTATCTTTATCAAGCCTCGACGCAGTTTTCTTCCAGCTTTATACTGGAAGGAATGTTTTCGCCCAGCTTGAAAGTAACGCCAAAATTTATTGCCACGAGTGCGCACGAAGTATATTGCGCGTGTAATAAAAATAAAGGAAAACAACGTCTCTCTTTATGGCATCATAAGCTCGCTACGAGCTAACTAATGTAA